ATTGCCAGTTTGCCCCTTGATACATGCAAACGATTCCGAAATAAACAAATAAATAAACACATGCAAGCCGTCAGCAGATTAACTTAATCAATGCTTATAAATGAAAATGCTGCCAACATTGAATGACGGGCTTACTTAACAGTGCTCCAGCTTAAACATCCAATTACATATAATAAAATGTGTATAGTTGCTCTTCATAGACTCCCCGCTCGAGTCTGCAACACTTTCAAAGTGCCATGAAAGGCTTTAAGCCCGATTGCATCTGTGCCAACATTATGCTGGTAGTTGCTCTTGCTCTTGCTGTTGCTGTTGGCTCTGCTCTTGCTTTGCGGCTTGCTATACAATTATGCAGGAAAGGACAAGTCTGGTTTGCCGTTTGGTAAACATTTATATGGATTCGTTGTTCGTGGGCAAAAACAGAAATTACCATTTTATTATTGCAGGCATTGCCAACGCGTCGTCTCTACGTGGATGGTTCTGCTGCTGTTGCTGCTGTCTCTCATGCTCCAGTTATTGAATTCGCATTGAAATTAGTAATGTATATATGCATGGACACGAACTATCTCAGCACAACAAGCCCAATCACAACAGACAGCAAGCACTCTGCCTGTGAAAGGCAGATAAAACGTACAAATAAGTATACATGTATATATAGAATGTATGTGTGTATATTTTCTGTTTTATGATTTAATACAATCGGGTACGGTACTCAAGGTGGACGCTCTAAAACAATTGTTCCGTCGACATAGTTGAGATGGTCTTGTCCCCGATCGAATAGTTGATCAGAGTATTGTCAGCATCCTCCAAATTGCCTTCACTTGAGTTTTCCTCGAACTTTCCATTCACGCCCGTCTCCAGATAATCATTGACCTTAACTTTAACCATGTTGCCGTCGTCCACCTTGTCGCTCGCGGTATAGCCCTCATTCACTTCAACTTTGACGTCACACTCATTAGTCTCGTTGGCTGAGTCATACTGTGAACTTTCCTCCGGCTCCGAATCGGTCTGCTCATTATCCGATACCAATACGCCAGCGACATAGAAATGATCTTCCAGCATCGTTTTCCACTCGTCCAAGTAGGTATTGAAGTCGCGCGACTCGAAGCGGGCTGTACTCCGGATAAACCACATGATGTCGGTGCCGGACAGTGATTCGTAGCTGCCGTTGGGCCCAAAGTCGTGCGGAGCACACGATACATCGTATATGACGCCCTGCAGTGCAATCAGATATCGGGCCTTGGCATTCTGCGAATCGTACTGCTCCAGTTTCTTCTTCGATATGCGAAGATTTTGTAGAGGCGCCGGAATTTGGACGTGACCCTCCTTCTCATAGTCCTCGTCGTCGTATGTCGGATACTCCCGTCGCACATGCATGTAGGCCATGTAGCCCACGATGCACGTCAAGGCCAAAATGCCCAGGGGCGAGCTGAGCGCATCCCGCAGCTGATCTCTCCATGTTGCGCTCGGAAGCGAAGACATTTTAGTTGATGTTGTTTATTTTTCTTTTTTTTTATATATATTTATGTATTCCCCTAGCTGTGCGCTAGACTAGTGACTGCCAGTGACTACTTTGATTTACGTGTGTGTGTGTAAATAACATTGACATAAAATGATATTTTCAAATAGTGCTTTTAACAGAAATATACTAAATGGGAAATATACTAAATTCAAGAAAATCCACTAAAAAGTATTTGGTATGTAAATGCGCATTTTATTTTGTATTGAATTAAATATATATTTTTATTATATGTATGTATGTATATGTCAAATATCTATACATCTGTATCTTTATATTCATATGTATATAATAAAGTTCTCTATATCATGCTAGCGGAGTTTTGCTCTTTAGAAGAGCAAAGCTTTCTTTGAATGCCTTGCACAGCTCCTAGGCGAGCCGTAAAATATAATGATTCGCTGCAAGTTGGAATCCCTTAATCGACTGGCAGATGCCGTCTACTTTGCTGCAAGTTCACATTACAACATCTGCAGTAATTTGTTTTCAAGCTACAAGTAGTCGACTAGCTGATGCCCTACAAATTTGAGCAAATGCAAGTTTTTATTACAATCATGGAAATTAACAAAATAAAATAGAATTGCCTGAATGAAAGACTATAATTTTTATTCATTTAATTTAATTATTTAAGCAAAGCTGTGAATTTCTTTTGACATCTTCAATTTAAATTGTAGTTAATATTTTATTGCAAATTTTATTTCTTCAAGTTTTTTAATTAAAGTTTTAAATAGCAGCCAATATTATATATGTAGTTATAAGTTAGTTAACTTGACCCGCCTCATTCGGAGTCTAGCATACCCTTTGTACTCATTTAATGCACACAGGGTATTTAAGGGAAATTTGAAAACTTGTGCCGCAGCATAATTAATAAAGTAAGTTGAACTTTTTACTGCTTTTAATCTCTCTTTGCAGGTCTGGTGGTCGCCTTGCCCCAGCCGAGAGTGCCCTGAAGAGCCCGAGTTGGACTTGGCTGTGCACCAATGCGTCGACTATTGTCTAATGCAGGAGCAAAAGAAGCCAGAACTATATACCGATTTGGGGGAGCACGGCAGAACCACAGCAAGAACAGCATCGACGACATCGTCAACGACGACGACGACGACGACGACGACGATGAGGGCAATGCCCACTCCAAGTGCCTCAGATACACCAGAGTCAACAGTATTGACCACGACGCCAACAACAACAACAACAACCACATCGACAACATCTTCGCCAGCGTCATCGTTACCAGCATTATTTGCAACGCAAACGAGAAGCAGATATCACGACGCACTAAATATGCCATCGACCATGTTTCCGCCTGCCTTGTCCCTGCAACTGCAACAGTCAGCAGCATCAGCAGCAGCATCAGGAGCTGCATCAGCAGCTGCATCAGGAGCAGCATCATCGCCATCAGCCGCTGAATTGCCGGCGATGTCCATGCAGGGTTTGAATCGTAAGTGTCACTTCTACATGATGATCCCAGCTACTATTGACCATCTTCCATCTTGCGCAGTTTCAGCGCCAGCCCCCCCTTCCCCTACCTCTTTTATCATTACTCTGCCACAAGCTGCTTGTTAGCCGTTAGTTTTCTTGTCAGCGCAAACACCAGACGACCTGGCTCCTTGACTCTTTGTTCGTGTCTTGTTAGTTTTTCTAGTTTAATAGGTTTGTTTTTGCCATCGTCGCTGAGCTGCGCACAAAAAAAAAAAAAAAAAAAATAATAATAATGTGTGTCACAAATGTTCAAGAAGGAGCTGAAGCTTGACTTCTCAATGCTTAACGGAAAATACATAAAATGCTTTTTATAAAATGTCAACTAAGGTTTCTAGAGCTGTCGCTTGCTTTTATGCACCACTGTATAGAGAAATGTGTTTAAATTTATGATAAATTTCAGAGAAGATTTCTTGTATTTTGTTCAGCCTTTAAATGAATTTAATATCGTTTATTTGATTTCTTATTCTGCGCGCAATAATAATATATAATCAAATCTTTATATATAATTTAGTAGTATATCTTACATGTGAAGGGCATTTAATATTCGATAGATTGTTTATTTATTCTCTTTTTCTTTCTTTGACAAGCCATAAATTTTCTTATTTACTATCCATAAAAGCTTTCATATGGCTACACTGAACAGATAAAGATATCGAAGCTTCGTTCGCTACATGCCCAAACGTAAATCTATAAATCTTAAGCTTATTTTAATTATAGCCATAACCATATATATAACACGATGCACGTAAAATATAGTTGTATATATAATATAAGCTTATATATGTATAAAAGTGCGTATATATGTATGCATGTATGTATGCACATATATGTATTTAGACAGATTAAGCTATGCAAAATATTTGCTCAACTCCAACTCGAAATCCAAATTGACTCAGTGAGGATTTTCATTGCAATCTGTACATACTTAAGCTCTATTCACACACTCACACACACTCACACACACACACATGCTTAACGCGCTTGTGCCCTTCAGTTTCCACAGGCAGTTCAGGCACTGCTGACGGCAAATCAGAGCCGAGCATCAGCTGGGTGCATTCGGAGAATGCGGATGAGACATACTTTATGCTGCAAATGCATCCCGATTTGGCCGACCCCACCGAGCAGCTGGGCATGGAGATTGAGCAGGATGACAACGAGACGGTCACCGACATTAGACAGCGATTTGGCGAGGATAGGCTGGTGAAAATGCAAATCAATCTCACTGACATGGATGACCTGGATTTGCGCTGCGGCGGCCTGGTGAGGCGCACCAACATGTCCTATGTGAACTCGGGCGCCGTCCGCTGCATGATGCAGCGTTGCACGTTCACGCTCAATGCTCCAGAAATATGCCCACCTGATTACAAGGAAACGGACGATACAATATTCTGGATATACTTTTTACTACGGTACGTACGAGTAGCC